GGATCTCAGCATCCCCATCCCATCCTGAATTCCTTTGGGATCCCACCATCCCCACCCCATCCTGAATCCCTTCCATGATCCCAACATCCCCACCCCATCCCTCATTTCCCATCCCATCCCTCACCCCTTTGGGATCCCAGTATCCCCACCCCATTCCTCATCCCTTTGAGATCTCAGCATCTCCACCCCATCCCGAATCCCTTCAGGATCCCACCATCCCTACACCATTCCCTCATCCCTTTGGGATCTCAGCACTCCCTGCCCCATTTCTAGAACATCCCAAATCCCCCATCCCTTCCATGATCCCAGCATCCCCATCCCACCCCTCATCCCTTTGGGATCCCACTATCCCCACCCCATCCCGAATTCTTTTGGGATCCCACTATCCCCACCCCATCCCAAATTCCTCTGGGATCTCAGCAACCCCACCCCATCCCCTTTGGGATCCCACTATCCCCACCCCATCCCGAATTCTTTTGGGATCTCAGCATCCCTACCCCATTCCCTCATCCCTTTGGGATCCCAACATCCCCATCCCATCCCCTTCAGGATCCCAGCATCTTCAACCCATTCCCTCATCCCTTCAGGATCCCACCATCCCCACCCCATCCTGAATCCCTTCCATGATCCCAGCATCCCCACCCCATCCCGAATCCCTTCAGGATCCCACTATCCCCATCCCATCGTGAATTCCTTTGGGATCTCAGCATCCCCACCTCATTCCCCAATCCCTTCAGGATCTCCGCATCACCACCCCATCCCGAATTCCTTTGGGATCCCAGCATCCCCACCCCATCCCTCATCCCTTCACGATCCCAGCATCCCCACCCCAATTCCCGTTCCCATCCCATCCCTCATCCCTTTGGGATCTCAGCATCCCCACCCCAATCCCCGTTCCCACCCCAGCCGGGCTCACCAGCAGGTCGCTGTGGGGGATGGACAGCAGCAGTTTGATGAAGGTCCTCAGGGCGTTGTCCAGCGCGTCGTCCCCGTAGAGCCGAAAAACCCCAAAGTTGACGTAACTGCCGCTGAGCGCCGCCTTCAGCATGGAGAAGCAGATGGAGATGCCCTTGAGCTTCAGGGCGTAGACCTGGTCCTTCGGGACCTCCCCCAGCGTCAGGATGCGGTTCCCTGCACGGACACAGCAGCGGGGTCCCCGTTCCAGCGGCCCCGTCCCGACCCCAAAACACCCAGGGGGCGGGGGTGGAAGGGGATGGAAAGGGATGGAAAGGGATGGAAGGGGATGGAAAGGGATGGAAAGGATGGAAAAGGGATAAAAGGGGATGGAAAGGGATGGAAAGGGATGGAAAAGGGATGGAAGGGGATGGAAAAGGGATGGAAAAGGAGGGAAAGGGATGGAAGGGATTGAAAGGGATGGAACGGGATGGAAGGGGATGGAAGGGGATGGAAAAGGATGGAAAGGATGGAAGGGGATGGAAGGGATGGAAAGGGATGGAAAGGGATGGAACGGGATGGAAGGGATGGAAGGGGATGGAAGGGGATGGAAAGGGATGGAAGGGGATGGAAGGGGATGGAAAGGGATGGAAGGGATGGAAAGGGATGGAAGGGGATGGAAGGGATGGGAAAGGGATGGAAAGGGATAAAAGGGGATGGAAAAGGATGGAAGGGGATGGAAGGGATGGAAAGGGATGGAAAGGGATGGAAAGGGATGGAAGGGGATGGAAAGGGATAAAAGGGGATGGAAAGGGATGGAAAGGGATGGAAAGGGATGGAAGGGATGGAACGGGATGGAAGGGGATGGAAAGGGATGGAAAGGGATGGAAGGGGATGGAAAGGGATGGAAAGGGATGGAAGGGGATGGAAAGGGATGGAAAGGGATGGAA